CCCCCCCCCCCCCCCCCCCCCGCGCGCTTTGCTCTTCTCTTTCGGCGGCAGAACGCCATGAACCTCATGACCGTGGCGTGGCAGCAGCGGGCCAGCGTCTGGAAGCCCTTGGAGAATGACCCCGCGGTGAGCGCTCTCTCGGTTTGGTCGGTCGCACGCTTACGCCCGCGCGCGCTTTAATTAAAGCGTGAACGCCCGCGTCCTGACCCAAAACGAACCCGCGTGTGGTAGTTAGTATCTACCGCCAGCAAGATAAACGACATGAAAGAGCGCGTCAGTTGGGGGGTTCAGGTGCAGATTGCTTTTTACGAAGGGGGGGGTGGTATTTTGGGCGTATTTTTTCTCTGAAAAGTCAGAACACAAGGGAAAACGACTACAACGTGAACCACGGTGCGCATCATGAAGGAGGAACATCCTCCACGCTGTCTTATCCCGTCCTGGGTGCCATCGAAGGCAGACGGTAGGCAGGGTTCTGCTATTTCCAATCCAGATATCTTGCTTTGCTTTTGATTCCCGCGGTTGAGCGCGGCCCGACTACGATACGCTAACCTTCGAGGCTGTTGCTAGACCAGGGAAGGTATGGAGCGTCCCTTCCGCGAACAGACGAACAAAAAACAAGTTCGAGTAGGCTTGTGCGACCTTTCAAGATCGAGTAGGCTTGTGCGGCCTTTCAAGTACGGGTAGGCTTGTGCGGCCTTTTCGCCTAGACACCAGGAAGCGCTTGTATCGCACGTCAACATGCCTCTTACCTCTGCCGGCGGTTCGGACCAAGAGGCGTTTGAACATTGCCGGCAGGGTGTAGCGCTTTGGAAGGGTAAGCGCGTCGAAGATTACGGAACGTTGTTTTAAGTGAGGTACATCGGACACTTTGCGTAATATAGACAACAGTCAGTTCGTGCATCGGCAGGTCCTTGAAAACGACAAGTTTACCTCCGCACCCCCCCCACCAAGAATGTGTGTGTGTTTTCGTCCTAATTGTTATGGCGACAGTCCCCCCATTTTTCGTGGTGAGACGTGTACTACACTTTTCAGTATATTTTTTCGACTACAACCATCCAGGGTCACGCAGGAGGGGGTAAACACCAAGGCTTTTTTCTTATTATTATTTCTTTTCATGCCCCGCCTCCCTCCTTCGGTGCGTGCTGAATTTCATTTTTATCGCGAGAAGGGTCCAGCCGTCCCTTTCCCTCGTCAACGGTGCTGACGTCGAAGTTTGGTACTCACGAGAGCTTTTCAGCTATATTTCGCTTTCACCCGCACATTTCGTAAATTTTTCACCCCATGGGGATTCGTACTCACGACCTCTGCGACTAGCGGATTACGAGGATACGACTAGACCACCGGGGCGGCCGGAGTACCTGTACGCGAAAGAGTCTATTTCGAAAGTATTTAGAACTTAAAGGGATTAACAAATGATGACAACGGGTGGACCCTACACAAACTGACGGGATAGATGGTAATTTTTTTGAAGTGAATAAATCGCGGTTTTTCAGCACAAGGCAGGCGGTGAGTTTGAATTGAAAGTCTCGCCTGTTCCCGTATACGTGTGTGCATGCGTGACAATGCCGCCACCGCCGCCGCCGCCACCGCTCTTGCCGTGCGTGTGTTCATCAGGTGCCCGTGTCCCTGAGGAACATGATCGGCCGCTCATTCGCCACAGAGGACGCCCAAGACCTCATCAGGGCGGCCGTCATCGACCTGTTCGAGATCCTGGAAAGCGAGGACGAGTCTAACTTGGAGGAGGTGAGCGTGGGTGGCGGGCGGGCGGGCGGGCCCCTGTCTCGATGTCGATCCTACCCCTCTGGTCTGGCACGGCTGCAGACGGTAGCTACAAACTCAAACCTCCGCAAGTGTGCAGCAAGGGCGACCCCACCCTTGCGCACCTCCTCCTACTGAAATGATCTCGATAGGACAGGGAAACGTATTTACTAGCCACCTTTGGCAAAGTAGGGAGGGCCACCGTTCTGTGGGAACAGTGCTCTCGAGAACGCGTGTGGTCAAATGTTCTTAACAGCTAAGCATGCAAAACATGAGTACTCTCCGCCCCCCTGGATGCAGCGCACCCTCCACGCGACTCGCCGAATACCTACCTCACGGCGCTTCGCGCTCGGTGATGTGATAGCCTGATCCGTCCGTAGAAAACCCGGCATATTACTCCGTCCCGGCTGTGCACGGATGCGAGTAGTTCAATGGTCTAACGACTACGTCATGCACGGCTATGAGTACACTCCCCCCCCTCTACCAAACATGGTAGGGATGCGCGCGAAGTCTTATGGTCAAACGAATTCGGCATGCGTTTACATAAGTAAACCCACCCACCCACCCCCACCACCTCGTTTCCAGGCAGCGGAGGCCATCTCGAATGCGGTGCTCACCACCGCCAAGGAGATGGAGTCGAAGCCTCCCGGACAGGCCGACTTCTTCCCGACGCTGCAGTCCATTATAGCCGAAACTCCCGAGATCACCGGAAAGTACGACTTCAAGACGAACACGACCGAGTACCAGACCGCGGCCAGGAGGTGGGGAAGTTGCCGAGCGCCCGCCAGGAGAATTTGGTGGACGCGGCGGCCGCGGCGGCCGTTGACTTGTCTTCCGAATTGTTATTAGGTGTAATCCTGTACTATTAAGCCTGTTCTTACACATAGGTGTAATCCTGTACTATTAAGCCTGTTCTTACACACTTTTGTTGCGTTCTTTTTTTCTTGTTCATATATGAGGAGTGGCCAAAATCGGGTGCACCCGGCCCGAACCCGGCCATTATCGAGTACACTTGTTTTACACAGTCGGCAGCGCCCTCCTGGCGCCATCTGATTAGCCGACGCCCGCCGCCCCTACACGGCCCTCACCCTATGCCCGCCGGATGCACCCGATCTTGGCTACTCACCCCCCGGAGGGATACCCGATCTTACTTTAGCCTACCCGAAAATGGCTGGGCTATTCGACCAACAGACAGACCACCAGCAGACCACGCTCACGAACACACGTCACCAACACCCCGCACTCGAATTCCGACGCTTCTTGTTTGACGAGTTCGTCGTTATTTTTTCGAAGCTCTTCGCGTCCAGTCTCTCCATTGCCCGTTTTTCCCCCGCTCACGGATACTCCCTGGCAACCCACCCTCTCACTCTCTCCCTCATTTCGATGTCCCCCCCCCCCCCCCCCCCCCCCCCCC